CCCCCATAAAACCGCGCCTGCAAAAGGGTTGGCACGGGCCGCGGGACCGCGGGAGGCTTGAGTCCCTGGCCCGACTCACCACGGCACCTCGAGCGTCTGGAGGGTTTTTAAGGGTTTGGTAGTTTTACATTACTCAGAGGAGTGGTAGGTGTCCCATAACAATGATCATTTTGTGCCATGGAAACAGATATACCTGCACCATGTTGTTTGCAACCCTTTTCATCCTCAGTCTTCTTCTTGCACAAAGTCTTTAGTCACTACTTAATTGACCAAGCAAAACAGCGGAAACGTGAATACATAGATTAGAAATACAATCTATCTTTAGATATATATATAGATATACACATACATGTAAAAATTAACATATCTCACAGCTAAGTAATATAGTCAACCATGTCTCTTTTTCTTCGACTCCTCTTCAGCAATAGTTAAAGCTTCCTCTAATTCCTCTGGGGCAACTAAAAACCATGCCCACAGTAGACGACGATTTTTATTAACCTGGGATTTATTAAAGGCCAACTGCAAGTCACAAAACAATGTCAGTTAATAACTCTCATTACAGACAAAGTAATTCAATCCATATTGAAACAAACCTGTTTGGTGGAATACAGAGTAGCAAGATTTCTGAATTCTAAGGAGGACTTATTTATTTGATCGTCAACATCTTGAAGTGCCAAAGAAAGCTCTGTTTTCACAAGGTTTGGTTTATTGGTTTGTCCATTAGTCAGCTCCGAAATCAGTTTATAGATGGAAAGCTCCCTTTTAATGCAAATAAAAAGGAGAGAGATCAATTTAGTTAGTCTGTCTTCATTGTATCAGAATTATGAATTAAAAGTTAGTAATCCAGCAATTTAGCTTACCGGTCTGGGTACTGTTTCTCTAAAGACTCCAACACATCACTCAAATGTACACATTCCAACTCTATCCATTGGTTTTCAGAAATGGTATCATTACCATTTTCAGTGATATCAAGAAGACGCTGTAAGGTTCCAAGTAGCATAGCTTGACCACCTCTCAGGACATCACTGGTCATGTTATATTCTTTTATGGTACTGTGCAATCCAGCCTAGCAAAAAACACATTTAAATGTGTGAAAATGTTGACATTTTTAATGTAAAATTGAAGCGACTTTTGACATACCATTGTAGCATCATGTCTATTCAGCTCATCTGTGAAGAAATCTGAAATTTCCTTGATTGTGCTAAGGCTGAACCTAAACTGTTGGCTCTCATGAGCAAACATCATCCAGAGAGCATCTGTGAGGTACAAAAATTTGTGAGTGACATGGGCAATTGAGCATAGCTTCCTAAGCTTCATTTGTCTGCGTTCTATGCGAATTCTTGTAATTCTTTCAACAACACAACTGATATGATGAAGAACAATCTCTTCTACTGTATTGCTAACTTCATGCCGCAATATCAAATTAATATCTTCGGACAACCTTAAAATTTCATCTTGAAGTTTGCTGATTTCCAGTCTGTAAACATATATTTATTTTTGAACTACCTCTCTCTAAATCATTTTTAAGCAAGAAAGAATTTTAAAATTGGATAAAAATGTAGATAAGATTTGATTCTTACTTCATACTAAGATTATTTAATTTTTGTAATGAGGAGTTTCCTTTCAGACTTATCAGATGGCGGATTGCACCCACATTTCCTGTAAAGTTGCCTTGCTCAGATATTTTGCTCACGAGTGCTTTCCACATTCTGAAAGAAAGAAACAAATGTTATGTAGATGGAAAAGTTGAAAATGGGGAGGCATGATTGCTTGTTGAAATGGTCATAAGAAAGCCAAGTACATACTTAGAGGGTAGGCCAGTTGTCATATTTGATGATGATGATGACCAGAGGGATCGCAATGATGATTCATCATCCACAAAAGACATTAATTCATGTAGTGTATTTTTATCATTAGCAGACGACTAAAATAGTTGGATGAAAAAACCCCATTAATATCATTATTTAATAAATGTTCATTCATTCCAGTATCAAAAGTACTCAAAGTAGACATTTTACCCGATCAAATTTCCTCATTAAGCATAAGTTTGAATATTCGTTAAATTTCTCGCAACTGTTCAAGATGCTATCCAGAGGCATATTAGAGAAAGTGCAGTTTTGAATATCCTATAATAGAGAAGAATACAGCAGATAATATAATAATAATAATTAAATTTTAGATGTCAACATGTAACATAAAAAGTTATCCAAATACCTAAACGATTTCATGAAACAACTTACCAGATCTTCTGAATCCATGAGGGTGGTTTTCAATTTATTAACATTAGAAAAAAGTGAGGATAAAGTTGCTTTATAAGGTACATGGATCTTCATCAGATTCTGACCTTCCCGCTGACATGCAACTTGCGCTGTTTTTAATTCAGCTTCTTTAGTTTGTTCAGTACAAGAACATTGATAACATTCATCACTGTGGAAAAAGACAAAAAAATTGATCTATGAACACATGGTTAATAACTCACAATAAACATTACTATGGGCAGGACACAAAAAGCAAGATCCAAAATTCTATATTGTATGTGCACACCTCAGAAGATTTTCCACTTCTGCTGCTGTATCATTCTGAATTCTTAATTCATTTAGCTCAAAGTCATTAAGATCCACATCAAAATCAGATAAATTGGAATGTAATATTCTTTGAACATCAACTCCATATTCTTCAAGGGCTTGGTCTAGTACTTCACCATTTAATACTTTGCCGCTATGTTGTAAATCGGTATACCTGAGGTAGAGAAATTACATTGAGCATCAAGTCCAGATTGCAACTGGAAAAATACACAGAAATTAAACAGGATAAACGTACTTTTCATAAAGTTGTTCTGAAATAATGTTAGGACTGTCAATATATTTAGTGAGCCAGTTCACAAAAGGCACTAACTCTCTAACCTCTGACAACCACTGTAAGTCGTCAGCTGAGTAGTCTTTTCCACCGAGAGAGACAGATGGTAGCTTCTCAAGAAGTTTATCCATGATGTCAGTTTAATTTGTGCCGGACTGCAGGCAAAATTATACAGTCGAAATGTTTAGAAAGTAGAAAATACATCGGTTGTGTGTCAAACCAATGTTTTGGATTCAAACTCAAACATGATTCAAATCTGTTCGACGAGTGCCATGAGTACCAACACAGCATATTTAGGTGTTTCACAGGAGTGGGCAGAAATAGTTGTAATTTGCGATAAAAAAGTTAAAATTAGTTCTTTTTAATCGTACTTTAAAAAAAAACGTAAAACACGCGCAGAGCTTAACGAGGTATAATGTAAATTTGATTGCAGGGTAGTGTGTAGTTGGTAGAGCGAGTAGAATGGTAAGTGAGGGTGCTGTTCATTTGTTCTGGACCGCACTGTAGCGGTACATTTAAATTTGTCAGCACAAAGAAAAAACATCTCAAAACAGTCTTGCGATTTCTTTTTAAAGATAAGGCATTTATTTCTTCTATAACATAGATTTTATGTACATGTGAAATACCCGTCAAAAGTTCATTTAGAGACTGATAAAATAACAGGGAACAAGTTACAAAATGTAATGTACTAAATGCATTTTCTGGTCAAGCCTTTTACCTCAAAAATAATAATCAGTTTAAATTAACAGGACAAGTACGCAGAGTATAAATAGACAGTATGTCCCTAAATGTGTATTAAACTACAGATAAAAAGTTGGCACTCACTCATTTTATGAGCATCGTCTTTGACATCACACAAACACGCGCTTATGTTATTACAGATTAGATTATATTTGTACTTTCACAGAATTCGTGCTAAGTGTATAAATATCTAATATATCACAAATGAAATACTTTTACATGTGAGCAAAGTAGAACCTTTTCACATATTTTGGCTTGGTTCCTTGAGCTAAAGGATGGTTGTCATGTTGTCATCACCGAGGTAGGATTCTTAGGATTTCCCTCAATCACCCGACATGTTCATGAAATCAGTGGCAGGTAGTCGGCTCCTTGGTTTTCTGCTGCTGTCACTAGGAGGTCATCGAGTCTCTTCTTCAGATCGGTGAACGTTGGTCGCTCACTGGGCTTTTCTCTCCAACATTGACGCATAACTTGGTACCTGCCAGTTCAATTTGGTTATTGCCAGAAAAATCGAAAAATACACCTAGCTGCAGCATTGAGAATAACCAAACAACAACTTACAGTTCTTCGCTGCAATTGGCAGGTTTCTCCATACGGTATCCTCGTTGTAGAAGCTGGAAGAGGCCGTTGTTCGGAATAGAGGGGTAAGGGGATCCTCCAAACGTCACTATTTCCCAGAGCAGTATACCGAACGACCACCTGTAATTGGAAGTGTTTTTGTTTGTTTCACGACGTCAAGTCCATTAACTCATGCTCGTGCATGCCTCACGCGAATAGGCGTGAACAGAAAAATGGCGGGGAGGGGGGAATAGGGGTGCAGTGCAGAGGGGCTCAGGATTTCCTCGTCCCTCTGCCCGCCCCCACTTCCCCGCTTCGACCCGCCCGTCCAGGCTTCAGTTTAGATTCAGTCGAGAGTTAAAGAAAAGCAAATCCGTATAACTTACACATCCGACTGCGTGGTATACTCCCTGTGCATCAGGGACTCCATCGCCATCCACTTGATGGGCACCTTGTCGTAGCCACTCTGGTGGTACACGTTCTGCTCGTAGATGTCACGCGACAGCCCGAAGTCTGATATTTTGACGGTCCTATCCTCACAGACGAGGATGTTCCTGGCGGCGAGGTCCCGATGGACCAGCCTTGTGCTTGCCAAGTACTCCATGCCGTCGGCCACCTGTCGTGCGAAGGCCAGCAGGTCCTTTGAGGATAGTCGCAGGCTGTTCTTCTGGTCGGAATCTGACCCAAGACAAACACGTGGAGATCAAAAAATTATTTAACCACCTGATGTTGCGGATTTCGTTGTTTAAAAGCTTACTTACCTCCCATGTCCATGCCATATGTGGCGTTGGAGACGGCATTGGCTGCGGTAATTCTCTGACTCAATTTTGCTTGTCGCTCATAGTAGTCGTTTTCACTGTCGGAATCACCTGCAAAGAAAACCACCCGAGTGAACCCCTGCTCAAGAAAGAAAAATGAAATTGTACGAAAGTGATGTGAAAACTTACTGTGGCAAATATCGATGTATTTCAGGTCCGGCCCCCTCTCTTCACTCATGGCTTTGGCGGCCTCGCGTAGGAAGCGCTGCAGGTCCCCCAGCGCGCAGTACTCGACGATCAGCAGGGTGACGCCGCCCTCAATGCAGCAACCCACCATCGACACGATGTTCTTGTGGTGCCCCACGCTTTTCATCAGGGCAATCTCATCCGAGAAGTGGCGCGCCTCTTCCGGAGTGGCGTTATCTGTGGGCAAACGTCCACTTTGAACCCGAACACACGACAACGCTCACTAAGACCTCATCTCGAAATCTCGAGTTTTTGGCGTGTCAAACAACCACAACCGCTCACCTCTCAGCCGCTTGACGGCTACCTCCTCCAGCTTGCCGTCGTGGCACGTAAGGATGCCCTTGCATACGGTGCCGAAGCAGCCCGACCCCAGCGTCTCGAGGAGGAGCAGGGAGGAGGCGGGCACGATGCAGCCCTCCAGCGCGCCGAGGACGCCCGGCAGCGCCAGCAGGCTGGTCATGGCCCCGGTGCCGCCGCCCGACACGCAGCTCGACATCACGCCTCCGTCGGAGATCTTCTGGAAGCGGTCCAAGTTCTTGGGGGAGAAAGATCAGCAGCACTTGTTAGACACGCCAGCAGAGCCCGGCAAACGGGAAGGGAACAAAAAAAAAGTGAGGTAAGCCTCCGTTGGCATGGTAGACATTTTATCACCTACGTAAGTGATCAGTGTTACGTATTACCTCGAAAATCTTATTGCGCTTCTTGGTTTCCTTGGCCTTGGTGCGCCGGTGCCACGCGTACGCCGTGCCGACGACGAACACGACGACCAGCATCATGCACACCACGACCGCCACCCACACGCCCGGCCACGATGCTGAACATCACACACATCAAAAACTTAGTACACATGGCATGAAAAATAACAAATGAATGAAAACATGTGCTGAAGACAGAAAAAAAAGGGGGGGGGGACAAGGTTGGCTGAACAAAAACATGGCTCTGTTCACATCCGGTTCGACCACAACTCGCAGCGAGTCACACTCACCCGGGTCCACCTCGCACACCTCGGTCACGCTGGGCCCCGCTCCGGCGACGGACTCGGCCCACACTTCCACGAAGAAGGACGGGTGCACGGCCAGGCCCCTTATCGTGTGGCTCGTGACGTTCTGCAGGACACAGTTGCAAAGAGCCGTGACGCGGGCATGCTCCAGGCACAAACTAACACTAACCAGCGGCCGAGACTAGGGCAGAGACTTACCCCGGGGAGGGTGAGGTTGGCCCTGAGCTGGAGGGAGTCCACGGTGAGCAGGATGGGCATGTCGCGGACGTGCAGGCGGTAACGTAGGGGCTCTGCCGCGGGCCGCGTCCAGTTCACCTTCAGGTCCACGATCACGTCCTTGCCCGGCCCCGGGCGCCAGGGCGAGACGTGGCACTCGGCGTACACGGACAGGCCGTGCACCTGCTCGGGCGCTGCGGGAGGGGAGCACGGAAGGGGTTAAGGCCGCCGAGCGTAAGCTACTTCATGAAACGGACAGGCTTGTTAAGGAGGGCTGTGCTATAAAAGTCACGACCCAAACATCAATATTTTTCAGGTCGTCAGGTGTCGGGTGTGACGGGTGGACCTCTCGGGTACTCACTGCAGATGGTGAGGTTGTTGCCGTGCGCCTCGTTGCAAGACTTGACGCGCAGCCCGTCCAGCAGCCGCGTCTCGTTGGACTCGCTCTTCTTGTTCTGCGACATGCTCCGCGCGAGCACGATGTACGTGTCGTCCAGGGTCAAGTTGTTGAGGGTGATCTCCCGCGGGCTGTCGTACTGCGGCACACAACAGGGCATGATACTTAACTCAATACTCCCGCCATGTGAGAAATAATTTAGGTAACACAACTCACCACGTTCAGCTCTCTCTCCCCGTAGCTCTGGTCCTTCCCCGGGAACCAGAACACGGCGTACATGCAGGCGGGGTCTGCTGTAGACAATGTGAGGTAATAGCTGAGGCAAAAGCACCGAACAAAATAATGATATCATTATAACTTTTCCAGAGTCTTACCGGCAGCCGGCTTCCAGGACACACGGGCATGGCCGTGGGTCTCGTCGTACTCCATAGACTCCAGGTGCATTGACTGCGGCGGTGGGGAGACTGAAACACAACAACGCAACCCGCGAACAATAAGACTACGAGTGGATTCGCGTGTCGCGGAGATGGCGCCGGGTGTGGAGTGGACATAGGCTCACCGTAATCCTGATCGGCGGTCGTGCTGAACAGCGCGCTCGTCGCGGAGGTGCAGCGGCGTCCTAGAGGCCCGAAGGACGTCACCCTCACCTGGTACTCAGTGGCGGGCCGGAGGCCGCGGACGTACCCGATCTGGAGACGAGTCTGCGACAAGACGGGGTTTGTCAACAGGTGAGCACGAGGCAAGGAAGGGAGGTCATTAGAGGGGTCTTTGGAGGCGGCTATCTTCAGAGCAGAACTGCTCAGAGGAAGTTATATATAGTGCCGCGGGGAGCAGGGGGGGGGGGGGTGGAACAATGTGCATAATAAGTTGTCGCCTGACTTGCTCCGCGTTCTTCCTGGTCCTCTCTGGCCCTGACTCCAAACTACCCCCTCCCCCTCCCCGGGCACTCCATAATGCCATTAGCTGAAGCAACTCCTTTGAGGGATAACAGGTCATTACGGTGGTCCTTATGGCGGCGAGGCGCCAGTATGAACCGACGGAAATTGTAGTGCTGGCGCGGTCTCCAAAGGGCTCAGAGGATTAATAATCATATTGTTGGTGTCAATCATACATGAGCAGTACTTACGATATTGGCGTGCCTCCAGTCGCCGCCGAGCTCGCGCACCTCGACGAGGTACACGTTGTCCTGGGGCATCCCCCGCCAGGGGTAGCGGACGCTCAGGCGGTCGTACTCGCGGCAGTGCAGCTCGGGGGCGGTCAGCTGCGGGCACGGCGCGGGGTCTGAAACACGAGGGGCGAGTGGGTGGTGAGAGCTCAAGCAATAAGTAGCCCCAAGGGTCGGGCAGCTGCTTGGAGAGCGCCCGCTTTGCTGCTCTGGACGCAGCGGGGAAGCCCCCGCAGGAGGGCCAACGTAATAAAGTCATTAACCACGGAAACAAAAATAAATTCTCTTAACATTTCTTCATCTCGTCATTCGCCCTCTTTAAAAAATACGAATTAATAATAATCTATCTCATGGAAAGAAAGATGGAGACAATGTTGGATCCGAAACTCATAATAATTGTCGTTTTGTGTGCCGGATGCACCATCAGTGTTGCGGGATTTGCATAAGCTGGCCGCAGGGGCCAAATCCTTTCAAGCGGAGAGAGAAACGAAACCCGCGAACAAAGTGATCGAATAGAACAAATGAACGGACGAGGTGGATGAGCGAACAGAGCGGCGAACGCGCCATAAGAGACAATGGGGCCCGTTCGCCGCTCGTTCACGCGTTCACCGCCTGTTCGTTCGCTGGCCTGGTTCCTGAGCAGGCCCCCAGTGTCCGCGCTGATGCACCCTCTGTACAAGAAAAGGAAAGAGAAATGTTTGCTCACCTTGTGTCAGCGTCCCGGTACGCGCGCACGCGCACGCCCCTCCGCAAGAGTCGTCAGTAGTTTTTCTCCGCAGCTAAGGGAACATACATACACACACACTTAAAACAATGCAATAGTGAGCAGACTTCTGACTTGATAGTTAGCGTTTAATGGGTGGACTATTCGCAAAAAGGATATTATTATCTGTTTAAAAAAAATATTATTATGCGTAACATTTTTAAACGTAGTAAATATTTGGCATAGACTTTAATTCTGACGTCAATTTGATTCCATTGATTCATGAGAGAAGGCTAACATGAGCAAAACAACCATTTTAGAGCACTACTGTAAAATTTTAAGTCGACACTTTACGAAAAAGTCACACCCTAATTTCAGTCTTGAATGGTTCGTCACAAGAGGGGTGAGATGATTGTTTCGTCACGTGACAACTCAATCGATAAGGATTGTAAAATGTACCAGGTGGCTGATTCACGTCGCGCACTTTCGTAGTTATATTGTACCGCATTCACGCGTGCGGGCGACTTTGCCAATGCTCGCAACGCACGGCTCCTTATGGCACGCGTGCATGCGGTACAGTATAACTACGAAAGTGCGCGGCGTGGATTTCGGTACGATGGGAATGGAAGCTGAAATCTTCGGTGCACACTAAAAAGCTTATGCACATTTTTATTCATATAGCTTACTGAGTTCTGAACAAATTTGTTCATACCGGCGTATTAAAAAATGCGTAAGCGGAGCACGTAAACAGCAGAACTCAGTGAGCTATGAATAAAAATGTTCATAAGCTTTTAGTGTGTATGGAAACGAGCGCCACACGGCTAACAAGACTGTATCTGTCGAGCCTAGCCATGAACGGTAATCTGATTCCAGGTTTGTTACAGTTATTTTGTCACGTGACGAACGCGAACGTGTTCCATTTATCTCGATTGGAATAGTCATCACAAGACGAATGGTTCGTCACAATTTGACGATTGGTTCATCTCAACCACTGTGACAAACCATTCTTCTCAATAGTTTTCGTCGCATGGCAATTCAGTTTAACGGTGAATCAGCGTTTCCGCAGTGCAGCTCAGCTGGGATGCTCAGGGGGGTCGAGCGAGAGCGAGAGACTCCCCAGGCGCCCGGCGGGCCGGCCGGCGGGCGGGGGCGCGCAGCGCGGTGCCTACCTCGGCTCCCGCAGGCGCTCCCACTAGGCCGCACCGCCGGCACGCCAGCCCAACGGGACTGCCTACCCGCCTCACCGCAGGCGCCCTCTCCGCAGCAGCCGCAGCCGGTTGTCTATTGCTTTCGGTCGCGTGCGAAAAGAACACCCCCAACTCGCATCGTTTCTTCCGCCCCTTTTGCACCCGTTGCTGGGCAGGCGTCACGGAGACCTTTGGGGGGCGCGTCCGAATGGAGCGGACCCCTGGACCCCTGGCGGACCCCCGCCGCCCGCGGCCCTCTGCTCCACCGCAGTCGTCCCAAGAGTCGTTTAAAACTCGATAAATGTCGGCTCTCCACAGCTCCCGCCCGGCCCCGAGCAGGACTCGAACGCCGGCTGCCACCGCCAAGTTCCGAACTGTGTGGCCACCTATCCTGGGGCCGGAGGAGCGGGCGAGGATGAGGTACTCACGCAGCAGTCTGCAGCCGATGCACACTGTAACAGAGAGTGATGGGGAAAAAATAGAGACGCGAAGAATGGTGGAGGGGACGCCAAGCGGGAGTGGGGCACGAGCGTCAGTGGTAATGGGGGCCGTACAGGAGCTCAAGCTTGGAGTTGTGAAGCACGTGTTTGGTATTTGTTTTTTTCAGTTTTTTTTTTTTTTTTTTAAGTGAAGGAACATCTCTATTAAAATAAATTCTGTCGTCGCAGTAACAGTAGGTTTTCTTTGTTGCAGTGTTAAGTCCAATAAATCCACACGCATGCTTAAAATAAAATAGAAAGAAAACAAGAAATGAGAGTAAGGAACATGTCGTACCCTGGGGCCCGGGCACGCCTTGGCCTCGCACTGGGCCAGAAGGGGTAGGTTGAGCGGCTCCTGCCGCCCTCCCAAGTCGACACGGTCCTCTCCGGAGTTGGGGCGCGCCAAAAACACGAGCAGCAAGAACGCCAGCGCCGCCATGGTCTGAATAACAGAAAACAAACACGCAGGGCACACATAAAACAGGGCTCCATGGGAAGGGAGCGCGTGCGTGGCGGGGCCCAGCGGGGAATGTAAATTATTCAATTATCTGTGTCGCGTAATCCGTCCCGAGGAGTCTCCGTTTCATGCATAATGTGTCACCGCCCGCACCGGCTGCCCATCAGTCTGAGCCGCCAGCGGAGCTCTGCCGCGACCTCTCTCGGGCGCGGGCGGCTGTCCCCGGGACACTGTCCCCGTCGGTCCCCGCGGCGCGCCGCCACTAATCGCCCTATTCACCGGTCAATGAAACGCCGTGCCGTGGAGCGGTGACAGCGGTGACGGCGGTGACGGCGGGACAGTCACGCGAAGCGCGCTGATGGAACCCTACTAGCGTCACCGTCACAACGTCACCACTCTGGTGAAACAAGTGTTGTTGCACGTCAATTGGTGTTTAAGTTCAGGTGTGCATTTTCTCAACACATTGTGGTGTCTTACTAGATTAAACGTCAATTATGGTGTTTAAACTTTCAACACGTCCGAAAAGTATAGCAGTTGCACACCATGTGGTTCCTACAAATTAGTATGTGTCCAAGTGTGCAGAATTTAAACGTTTACAGAACTTTTAAAATGTGCGCACCACGCAAGTGTGCAACTTGAGTTAACACCATAATGTTTAACTTCACACGCGTTGGTGTTTAAATTATGTACACTTGTTTTACCAGTGCACAGGGGGCTGAGGCTGAGGGGGAAATGAGAGGTCGCAGCCTCAGCAGCAGCATTGAATATTTTACAGATAAACGTGCGAGTGTACTTTTTCGGACAAGATGTGTGTACGTACACAGAGAACTACTCTATAAATCTAAATGTACCAGATGGCTGATTAACCCCGCCCACTTTTGTACTTATGCTGTACCGCACTCATGATATCACACTTAGAACTGCGAAACTAAAGTCTTGAAAAAACTATAAGACCTTTTAGATTTGCAGTTTAAACCGTACGACTTTATTTTTTTCGTAACTGGACGAATTTTTAGTTTTACATTTCGGAATGTCATCTTTTTAGAGTTTGATTTGCAGAATAATTGTTGTGAATATTTAGTTTTATAACTAACACCGTGCTTCACTCACGACACATTTTTCTGAGAGCCGTTGGCTCTCGACACGCGCTGGCTTATCCTGGAAGGGCGCCTCGGGGCCCAGCCCACCGTGTGGACCGTCGCGGTTCACCCGGTCGGTAAACAGTCCCGCGGCACGGACCCTCGGCCCCTCCCCTCGGCCCACGCTCAGGGAGTCAGCGGGTCGCCACCGGCACCACACAAGACTTCACTTCCCCATGAGACCGGCGCATCCAAAAACCTGAGACCTGAGTACACTGCACTTGATCACACTGTACTTGATCCTAGTGTTCGAGTACATATCACTTGAATTAAGACAAAAATCAGGGGTGAGGCACTCTTAGTTTCTTACTAAGAGCAGTCTTCATATTAAGAAGAATTGGGTTTGTAATATTACGAACAGATTTTCTTCGTATATTACAAAGAGCACCACTTTCATAACAGCCTCGTGCTCGTTGTATTACAAAGCCGAACCCTTCGTAATACAACGGATTTGTTTGTATTATGAAGGTGCCAAATCCTTTGTACGTTTGCAAAGAGCATCTCTTCGGAAAAAAACTTCCACACGGGATAAAAACAAAAG